AGTTCATAACAGTGAGATAAATCAAAATGCAAAAATGTACCAAAAAGCCTTATCTTTGGCTTAATGAGGTGGAAGGCTGGATTGAATCACACTTATTATCAGAAATTCCCTTCTCATACTGTCTGAATCCTACGACACTTTGTGGGTTCAGGAATCCGATCTGGCAAGTTTGGCCATGTCGGGCACGGAAGTCCCGATCTGACAGACCGAGCTGCTGCCCGTTCAGGCCATGGTAACCAACCTCATTGAAATCACAGTTTGGACGCTCTCTCCTGTACGGCCGTGTATAACGATGGAACGCACCCGAACAGTGAGCGGGAGATTGATAAATACCGCAAAGATCAACTCTGAGTAAAATACCAGATATATAGGTTCTATTAGTAATACGCAGGTAGCTGCAAAATTTTTCGCACAGAATAAGAGGTACCGCTTGCTTCTAAACCTACAATAAGGTGAGCAGCGCAGAATGTGTTAGTGTGAACTTCAAAACAACCATCTGCGCCTAATATAAAGCCTTTTTTTTCTAAAAAAACCAGAGATAAGGAAGTTCTGCTGGACATATAGGTCGTGAACCTCCAGCAGTATTTTGTGGAATAAGCGAAGTTTCTGTTTCAATCACTTTTGACGCATAAAATTCTGTGGTAGTAAATAAAATCCTGCGGAAACGCTGCAAATATTTCCTTTCCCTGCGGGATTCCGTGGGTTGTCTAAGCATAAACTCACTCACAATCATTCCGAGTCTCCGACTCCAATGAGAGAAACAGAAAGAACAAAGATGATGAGTAGCGCCGACGCAGTAGAAGATGTGAGGCTACCGAAATCGAATTCTTACTTGGGCTACGCACTTGATATATAAGCCCTTCAAGACAGGAAATACGATCAAATGTATCAGGTCGGCCGAAAGTTCGTACCGTTTTTGGGATAGAAAAACGTCTTACGTACCATTCGACACAGCTTTTCTTCTTCTTTTCAGCAAGTTGTTCTTGGACCAGTTGCTTTTCGCTGGTCACTAGGGTGATCACCGATTCGAAGCCATCGTTTTGATTTAGCAAATTTTGAGGATTTTCATTTCGGACTTTCGAAAGTGCTCTAATAAAGGGTAGATGTAGCTAAAATGTGCAATGCAATGCTTTTTTGGCATCTCAAGCTGGCTTTTCAGAACATTTCAAGGTTTAAAATTTCTTCAAGAATGCCTTTGAAAGTCATGTCTTAGAAACTCGATATTTTCAAAAGTCGATCATGATTCACACTAAATTTGTGAAGCAGATGAGCATTTGCCGCTTCAAAATATTAATTTTCTGATTTGCTGGGTACAGTTTAGCGCGCTCAAAAATGAAAATCGTAAGGACCTTATTCCTGATATTTCACAGATCGGAAGGAAGAAAATCGTGTCAAAGTAAAAGGAAAAATCATTTGACAAATCATTGAGAGCGGTCTGTAACTTATTTCGAGCGTTCTCCCAAAACCACAGGGATTCTCTTTAAAGCATATAAGACTTACATCAAACCTATGTTAGAATATGGTACTGTGATATACAACCATATCTCTCCAAAACTATAAATTACTTGGAAAAAGTTCAGAAAAGTTTCACACGAAAGCTGTTTATTCCGCTTTCGGTTTTGCTTACGATCTTATTCCTAATAGCGAGATTCGAGACAAGAAATTGGGTTTGCCATCCCTTGCGTATAGAAGGCGAAAAAATCACATTATAATAGCCCATAAAATCTTGTTTGGAAATAGCGGCTTGGAGTTTTCAGAGTTTTTTCCAACTAGACCATCGAATACCAGAGGTGGTCCCAGAAAACTTATTATTTCCAGGGCAAGGCTAGTGGTTAGGCGAAGTTTTTTACATGTCGCATTATTCATGATATGGATTCGCTCTTAAGAAAAAGGGCAGTTCCTTAAGCTTTCTTTATTCAAAAACATTTTGAAGGATTATCTGCAGTTCGATAGTTGATGTTGTTACTAACACGGTTCGATGTTGTCAAGGTATATCACTTCTTGATATTGTTTTCTTTTACTGTTATTTGTTGGTTACCTGAAATGGGTCCCCTCATGTAATAAATAAATGAACGAAATGAAATAAAAAGCATCATTGATTGACACCCGCGCCTAACTGGTGGATGTTCCTATAATGAGGTTTAGGCGAGTCAAAAACTGATTTTAATGGCATTTAAAACTAAATCGAGGATTTTCAAAAAGCCATAGATATTGAAAAATGCTTTGCCTTGCTGTTGATCACAAGAGTAACTGTTCAGAAAATGACTGCTGAAAATATTAAGAAAAGCTGTGTCGAGAACTGCTTGCAATGTTTCTAGCCTTTATTTCACATGTTTTTGAAGTAGGTCTAAAACAGCTCGAATTTCCGCACCGACTTCCACTTTCTTCTTGCTGTTAAATACATCTACTGATTATTCTAAATTTATTGCCATTTATTACTTTTATTAGTGGTCGCTAGTGAGCTTCTGTAATTTTTACATGATGATTTCGAAATCCTGAGAAGATTTTTGACACAGCTGCGTAGATTTTGCAGTGGGTGACCATAAAATGTGCCGGATGTTTGGTTTCTGATGTCTGCTGCATGAAAAGCTTCCGCGTTATTCCAGACAACGTAATATTGAGCTGGCTTCAACTTAGATTTAGAATATTCAATGAACCACCAAACTTCCCTTCTCTACTGTGAGTTCGGTAGAATCTTGTAGAAAGTTTTGAACCAGAGGGCCCTACAGTCTGCCCCAATCGGGATCAGACCGAACCGCCGGCTGAATTGCGCGCTCGCAACGCTAAGGGTCTGCGCTGCATACGCGCGCTGTCGCAGAGAACGAAGCGTTTGAGGAGAGAGCAGACTCTAGCCGCAGGTGTGAAGCAATACCTTCGCGGCACGTGTTCCCGCCATGCCAATTTTGGCCTGATTGAGATTGGGGCAGACTGTATTTTGCTTCAAAAAGCAGATCAAACGGCTAAAGTTTCGCTTTGAGTTAATCAAAGTCGCCAAAACTTGGTATATTTGCATTCTACTGTGATACTTCTTAAGTTACGCCAAGTATCCCATAATAGCTTTTTCCACAATGCTCTTTAGATAAGTGGTTTTACACCATTTCAAAATGACCTTCAAAAAGTTGTCTAATGAAATCAGCGGGCGTTAAGACGTTTTCTTGGGAATGTTTTTGGAAAAAAGGCTAATCTAAATGACGCTGTGTGCTGGGAATTCTTACAACAACCCCACAGTGAAGAAGGCGACCCGTGAATTCCCATACTGGAAATCCAAGCTGAATCTCTACAACAGCAAGTCTGAAGGACATCTTAAGGCTCTTATAATAGAAAGTTATGAGATCAAACGCTCGTTACATTTCAAATCCCCCTAAACCCCCTGAATGAACCCTTTTGACAATCGCGAATACTCTCCCCCCATGGGGTGGCTGCATGTCAGGACGTACGCCGCGCGCGGCGGCCGCTCGTCCGCACACGCCGGGCTTAAATCTTGGGGCTTTAAGACTCCCCGCCAATAGAGATTCCGGCGGCAAAAACAGGGGGTGAGGGTGGGGCAGACACATGACTTGGTGCTATAAGTAAGACTGCGCCAGAAGTGCTGCTGTTGTAAGGGCTGAAGTATGTTGCGGCGTCGCTTCGCTAAAAATTCGCGCCGATCGTACCTCCTGACCAGGGTAAAGCGGGGGGTGCGGCACTCGACCGTCGGATACGACCCCCCCCCCCCCCTGATTGCTGTCTTAATAAGACCCCCCTCCTAAACTATACACTTAAGATAGTATTACCTGAAGGCTCTGTCAAACATAATGGACAACATATCCATAATTAGCATGTCAAATACCCCCTGTAGACAAAGTGTGAGCGAATTGTGAAGATTCAAGATACTAGGCTACCTAAGTGAAATGGTCAAATTCCAACATGGTTAACTTTGTTTTAAAGGTGAATTAGCTATCCGTTTTTGCACTCAAGACAAAGCACTACTCCTTCTTTGTCCACCTCAGGAATCCCGCTTCAGAAGACCTCCAAACTGTGGAATTAGAAGCCAACCAAAATCTCATTTTTCCCATTTTTCGCTTTTGATGGCTGTGCTTTCACCAAATATTACTCAGAGCTAAGAAGACGAATCAGGCTCAAAACATCCCTATGGAATCTACGAGGTTTAGGCTATCGATTCATATAAATATTGTCCGCTAAAAATGTTTTTTTGATATAGTTAATGGCCTGCGGCACCCCTGCGGCACCCCTGCGGCAGCCGCAGGTTTTGAGGGGGGGGGGGTGCCGCAGGCCATTAACTATATCAAAAAAACATTTTTAGCGGACAATATTTATATGAATCGATAGCCTAAACCTCGTAGATTCCATAGGGATGTTTTGAGCCTGATTCGTCTTCTTAGCTCTGAGTAATATTTGGTGAAAGCACAGCCATCAAAAGCGAAAAATGGGAAAAATGAGATTTTGGTTGGCTTCTAATTCCACAGTTTGGAGGTCTTCTGAAGCGGGATTCCTGAGATGGACAAAGAAGGAGTAGTGCTTTGTCTTGAGTGCAAAAACGGATAGCTAATTCACCTTTAAAACAAAGTTAACCATGTTGGAATTTGACCATTTCACTTAGGTAGCCTAGTATCTTGAATCTTCAGAATTCGCTCACACTTTGTCTACAGGGGTTAATTGACGTGCTAATTATGGATATGATACGAATATCATGTTATCACTATAATCAGATCACCTAACTACGACCCCCTCCCCTTTTGACTCCTCAATACGACCCCCCCTCTGCGGCGTGCCGCACCCCCCACTTTAGGTACCCTGCTCCTGACCATCCCCCCTCTGGGGTAGCCGTGAACGCGGTGTAATGGAGTATCTTGCACGTGCGACATTTGATTCGACGTCTATGACGTGGTCCCATGACGAATTCCAAGCCACTTTTCCAATCAATATGCTCTCATGCATGCACTTGCACAATTTTTTCACATGATCGGAATTCGCCAATAATTCATTTCTTTCCTTGTGCTATTTTGAGCACTTGTTTGTGGCTGTTATGACAGCTGGAATTTTAATGACACCGTCTCGCGTATTGTATGCGTCGTGTAAAGTCAATCATCCAATTTGTCGTAATTATAAAATGACATTATTACAGGCATTATAGTTTATTTGTAAGTGCTCAATGTGAAAAAGAGGAGGTCTGCTTGGATATGACGACTTCCTCGGAGAGCGTCAAATTCCTGCAACTTCGGAACGGCGAGCGTATCAATATAAATTCATTCTGTAATGTCGTTCACACTGATGATGGCAAGCTTCCGACGGAGCAGAAATCTGGTAGCATGTTCGAGTCTTATAGAGAGGTGAGTTCATCTTCGATCTTATTTTGCTGAAGGAGTTTTTTTTTGTGATAGCTGTGAGTAAGCGATTTTGTTGTGAATGGTATTCAGTTACAGTTTTATCCGTCTGTTCATGCAGAGTCAACATCTCTTGTTTTGTTTAGGATTTTGAGTTATTCTGCTAGACTAAATTGTTGTTCCTATAGTAATGCTCTTCATGCTCTTCAAATGAGAAAATTTTGCCCTTTACAATTGATATCACAGTGTCACACATCTCTCAACTTCTCATTTCAGCATTTCAAAACCGCGGAGATATCTGTCCCTCCAGTTGATTATAAAGTGGTGGATTCTTTGCTAACAACTAATAGTGATAAGAAACGTCCCGAGGAGTTTGTCAAATTTGTCGAGAAAACGAAATCTGATTATGATCAGATGATAGAGTATGACTGCGACGAAGAGGTGTGTATAAATCATTTCGTTCCTTACATTCTTTTTCTTTTTGTGTTTGTTTGTTTCAAGCTTAAATTTCACTTATATAATGGAAAAGAAGCGATGTTCCGTCATCCGTTTTCCATCTTATTTATATAGTTTTTTTTGTTGATTCCATTTTTTTCTATTCTCATTGTTTTTATGCAAAGTCTAGCGCTACATTTCATTTGCACATAATTGTTCATTGAAGGACTATCTCTGGATAAAAAACGTGAACAAATCACGAAAGAAGAACAAGGAAAAGTTGATAACACCGGAGTTGTTGGAGAAAGTTATGGACAAACTGGAAAAAGAGAGCTGTTTTGAAGTAGTAAGTTTGCAAATTTTGGATAATATTGATCGCAGGCGTGCTTTGCGAATATCGTGTGGCACTGTGTCACTAGTGAAGCTTATCTGTCACTGACTGCCTTATAAATCTCTGCTATATAATATGTAAATTGTCATTATCTTAAGGTGAAAGGGTCGCCATCAATGGTTCCCGGTTCTTCTATGGATGGTGACGATGTATGTTGTGTATGTGGTGATGGAGATGTAAATAATGTAAACCAAATAATCTATTGTGACATGTGCAACATAGCAGTTCACCAGGTCAGTGCATATTTTGGAAACATCTTCTCATGAATTTCGCATCTAAAATGCCAGCGCGAATTTGGTTGCTTGCGACAGTCGGCTATGTTCCTTCACACTTCAGGATTGTTACGGAGTGCCATATATTCCTGAAGGCCAATGGCTATGTCGCCGATGTAAGCTGTCACCATCTACGCAAGTGGAATGTTGTTTATGCCCGAACACTAGTGGTGCCTTCAAACAAACAAGCGACGAACGTTGGGCACATGTCATCTGCGCTATCTGGCTTAATGAGGTATTACCATCTCTTCAAAGTTTGGCTTGAAATTTTTTGTTGTTGTTTATTCTTGCCCATTTCTTGTTTCTGTTCGACAAATGCGAGTCAAGATTAAATTTTTTCCATTTGTAAGTGAAAGCACTGTCCACTCAAATTGAGGATGGTGAGATCTTGATGGGGTACAATAGCAGAGCAGTGACTAAGTAGTTGCACAAAATTCGTTGCCAAGACGAAGTCAGACGCAAGAAAATTGCTTCAAAAGGTGGGAGGGCGTCGCTCCACTTATTACCTTGAGTAATCAAAGATACAAGTTAATGGGCTTGAAAGGTCCAAAAGTGCAGGGAATCCGCCCTTTATCATGCGGTCAGACTTTCGACAGTTTTGGACACATTTAAGCCCAACTTTCTGCAGAGTTCTCAGGCCTCCCGCGTTGATATGGGAAGTGATCACCTCTTTCTACCTTTCAGAGCGATTTTCTCGCTTCGGAATTCATTTTTTGCACGGGGCACGAGCGCTTACTTAGTTAGGAGCCCGCTATTGTACCGTAACAAAAGATTCACCTTCAGTTTGGATGCACAGCTCCTTCAATAGATACCTTGTCGTACACATAGCTGCGAATCATATCACTTCGTTATCCAAATCGTTTTCATAGGTGCATTTTGGCAACACGGTGTTCTTGGAACCTATAGAAGGTGTAGATGCCTCGTTAGAACGTCGATGCAAGCTGAAATGTTTAGTATGCAGGTTAGATTTTCATTGTCTGAATAGTCTTAACATATTCGCTAACGATGTGCTGTTTCTCATCATCTGGTCTTGTGAGAACTTATACGCATAAATTCAGAAAGAAGATGGGTGCATGTTTGCAATGTTCGACTCGCAGTTGTCTGAAAGCTTTTCACGTCACGTGCGCACAACAATCGGGAATGGCAATGCAAATCAAGACAAATCCAGATCCCGAAAGCTCTGATCTCGTAGATGTCCAGGTATGGCAATACATTGTATTTTTTGCTCAAACTCGTATTATTCGTCTCATCTCAATTCACATTTCCACAAGTGCTCTGATGGGGATTTGCTCTTTTCTTTTGGTTGGGATGCACCATTGAGGTATGTATTTTCAGCGGTTTGTGTACTGTCATCTTCATGCTGCTGATGATGGGTGTGACCCAGTCACTCGCAAGAAGCGTATGGACGAGGCAATCCGTCGTGCTCGCCGAAGTATGGCGGCAAAGACAAGCAGGACACCTACTGTAAAGTAAGCTTTGGCGGATTGTTTACTTGTGTATTGTATATTGTAATATATGAATACTCTTCAGTATGCCAACTATATCATCTGAAGCTATTGAAAGTATCAAGAAGCAAGTAGGCTCCGTCGTTAGTGATATTGTGCAGTATTGGTATCTCAAAAGGCGAAGTCGCTGTGGTGTTCCGCTTATCCGGCGGCTGCAGGTAATTTGAATTTTCTCTTCCATCATAGTTTCTTTGAACCTTTTGCAATAACACATTTGTTCTAGCTCAACCAGAAAGTGTCTCGGCCATCCAATTTCTTTGCTTCTGAACTTGATCAAGAAGAGCAGACGATATATCAGCAGTTTGCGCTCAAGAGGATGAGTTTGGAAACCACCAGGCTGCTATGTGAGCAAGTTAAGAAGCGAGAAAGTCACAAAAGAAGTCATGTATGTTAACCTTCCTGATTTTTTGCCTCATTTCTTCACTTCATCATGTTTACAGCGGAAAGTTTCCTCCCTGCTTACCTCAGCATTGCTCAAGCCTATTCCCCTCGTGCTTGAAGATATACTTGATCGACTTTTGGAGAAGGACAAGGACAAGGTAGGATTGTCTTTTTGTAATGATCCTTTCCAAAACTTTTCTTCTTGAAGGTGTTTGCCAATCCAGTCACGCTGGAAGGGTATAAGGACTATATCAAGCATCCCATGGACCTATCCACGATGAGAAAAAAAGCAGAAAAGGGCAAGTATGGTAAGTGCAATTATATCATATTCGGTCTCGGACCTTTTTTTATATGCTTGGCTCGTCGTCTATGAAAATTATTTTCGAAGTGCTGTATATGGAGCTGGACATCTGCTAGGGCTCAAATCAAAATTCTATGCTAGGCGCCTTGGGATGCTTTTCTTGTAGCTTGTTTTTATATAGAATCAGTACATCACCTTTTTTAGACTGTTCTTCAAGTCTGTCTATTTAGATACTACATATGCTATACACTCTCAGTCCTTATAGAATCCATTTTATTGTTCCTCTAAATCACTCTTGCAAAACCGAATCTCTATCTCATTAGTCCTCGAAATAGCCTAATGAAGCATTGTTGCTAACTCAAGAGTAGCGGCATTACGATACCGTCTGATCATCTTTATAAGAGGCGAAGAGGCTTTTTTTTGTGAATCTCCATTTATTTCGTTTTTACCTTTTATTGTTTTCCTCTCAATTCAGATTCGATAGCCGCTTTGCGGACCGATGTTCTTCTGATGACTGATAACTGCGAAAAATTCAACGTGGAGAATCCCTACTTCTTGCAGTATGGTCGCAAGTTTCGAAAAGTTGCTCTACAACTACTCGATAAAGAGGAGAACAGAGAGCGAACGTTGGAGAAGGTGAGTTGAATTCTCTTTTGAGGTGTTTTGATTTTTTTCTTCATTTTTTATACACAAACCGCGTATGTGAGCTACCACAAATCTCTGTCATCTGGACTATTTAGTACTTTTATAGTCGTTATATTGACCGTTCTTCTCAGCCACCATCGGATCACAGTCTCTCTCGATCATCGTACCTCTTTATTGGGCGAATTTAGCTCATTATCCATTTTTATGCCTTGCCTTTTACAGTGGAATCATTCTAGACGCGCATATAGACTTACTTTCTCGCGAAAGAGGACTTTCTCACGCAGAAGCAGCAAGTTTTTGCTTTTTCTTTTGAAGCATTTCTGTATCTACTCTCAAGTGAATTTGCTTTTTTGCATTAAAAACGTATGAGATATCCTTTCCAAAATATGAGATGGATTGCAAAGGTGAAAATGACTCTCCAGTCCTTCTTGAAGTATGTAATGATGACTATGACTATGATGCTCACTAACATCACTGTTGTGAATTTTATCAAATTTTCGGCATTTTCTCTTTCATTAAAGCGCTCTTACTATTACAGCTGCTTTCTTGCGGGACAGAAGGCTCTATACTTTCTGAAGTATCACGCTTGGGTTTGTACGACGTATTAGAAGCTGAGGTCTCGAAGGACGAAAGTGAACAGGAATGCGAGGAGAAAGTGCAAAGGTTGGAGTCTGGATTACTGATCAACATTGTCCATAATATCTGACAATTTTAGAACGCATCGGACTCGCGAACCGAAACCATCTGCCGCTGGTTCTTCTTTCGAACCAAAGCAATCGGGAGGTTTGGGATTAGGTTCTTTCCTTGCTCCAAAAGTACAGGGTGGCGGACTCTTTACTATAAACGGTGGGTATGACGTGTTTTCATTTCAGTGCATGAGTGCTTGATATTTTTTGATTATGTTATTTAATACTTTGTATCGTTTCACTTCTTTTGTTTCTTGTCAGCAGACGCTCTAGTCCTCAAATCAACTAAACCATCAAGTTACGCAAATTTGCACTCTTCCAGGTAGTAATCCGAAACCGAAACGAAAGACCAGTCCTGTGGACAAGACTCCGAGCCATAAAAGACGGAAGAAGGATCTGGCTTCTAGTAAGTTTTATTTTCTCGAGGATTGATTTAATAGCATTTTCCCTCACATGTTTTCGTTGTTTGAACAGCTTTGATTATACATGTGCATTTTTGATCACAGAATCTGCCGCAACATCTGAAAATCGACTTCTAACATTGAATGAACGCAGTGTTAATGTGCACCAGTCCTATATCGTGCGCAACTAAGCAGGAAATATTCAGAACATGAGCAGCCATACCAAACATGCTGTATACTTTCGGGCTCGTCTTGAAACGCTGATTACAAAGATATGTTTGCTATCTGCCAGCGCTATCCGGGAGAAGTTATGAGCGTTTAAATGTGCGGTTTGTTAAGTGTTCTGTGGTGCATGTTTCACGAAATAAGTTTCAAAAGCACTTATTTAGGTTTTTGGTGAATGTGCTTCTTCCTTGTAATTCAAATAACTATAGCCACTGTAATTCTGCGCTATCAGGCTACTTTTAAGGAAATATATTCGTCGAAATTTCTTTTCTTATATTTGAACGCTCTTAACTCCTCCCAGATAGTCGTTTGGCAGATGAAAACTATAGATTTGAAATTAGCGTTTTAAGACGAGTCCGATGATATATAGCTTGTCTGGAATGACTGGGTTAAGTTCTGACCATTCCCTCGTAAGCAGTAATTTTGAACAGTGCGCGTCAGTCAGGAGAGCATGATTGTATTGTAATCATAATTGATTTGGCTCAGCGTCACTGATGGTTCGAGCCTTATTCATTCATAATCTAAAGATTTTTTTTACAGTCCAAATGTGATCTGAGTTGAGTTTATCGTGCCTGCTATATAGAGAGTTCACAAATGACACTATAGTAAATCATTTGAATGTCTTTTCTTCTAGATAATACGCATCAATCGCCGATCACTGCTTTCCTTTCTCCCTCTACTCCATCGGGTAGACGATCGCTTGCCCGACCGAATGGAACTGCCCCTCTCATGGCTTTCCGTAACAACTCGGTGAAAAGGTTTGCTGGTTTAGTTTCTCTCAAAATTTATTTTCAACCTAGTTCAACGTTATTAACTTGTTAATTTTTTGTTTATCACAATCAAACATGCTTTCGTAGATGATCCATAACGGCTGCGAGCCTTGGGTCTCATTTGAGACCAAGTTCATCTTTTGATGTAATATGAGAAACGTTGAATGTTATACGTTTAGCCCGCTGCCTGCTGACGTTGCGTCTTCTGAATCTTCAGCTGAGGAGGAAGGCAGTAACGCAGTTCGCCGTAGGACGCGGTTTGGTGATCAAGCCAAAATGGAAATCCAGGTATGCGTTTCATTTCGTAGACTATTTGCGTTGAACATTTTTTATGCTGGTTTCCAAAACGCAGTCGGTTGCTAACAGCGAGCTCTCGGAGCTTGATAGTCCACCGGAAAAGTCCTATTGTGGATATTCAGAATTTCATCTGTTAATGCGCAGATTAGTAGGGTTGATAATGCTTATCATTTTTGTCACAAGGCTAACAATTGAGATCACTTTTATGCGCGGCTACTGCGCTCTGTCTAATCCTGCTTTAACTTCCGCATATCCATTTGAAGCCAGAAATTCTATGAAGGTTTTTCAGGATCTGAGTGATTTTGATGGATATCACCATAACGATCTTGTCGTTGTCGACGGAATCGCTGGACGGTACGTGCTTCCGTACTTTTTGTTTTCGGATTTATCACTGTTTTTCCAAGATTTATTACTTTTCTTCCAGAGTTATTGATCCGGTTGACGCGAGAGTCGATGGTGGTCTCCCAAGCGAGCTTGTCAGTGAATGTAGAATGTCTGCTCACAGAAAGGAGTCTCAAATCTGTGTCTACCTCTTTGAAAATGAGAATAAGTGGTAAGGTTTTGTGCGCAGGTCATTCGAGTGTGTTTCTAAATTTCTTTTATTCCCTTCCTTAGGGGATGGTATCCTTCCCGGGATGTTCGTTATTTGAACACGAATGGCGATAACATGTCCTCATTGTCATCTTTCAAACTGGCTATGAAGTGGTAAGCACAGAAACTTTTTCTGTCGCATAAAATGGGATTAAAATTTTTTTTGATAGGCATAAGAAAATGATGGAGATGTATAGTGGTAAGCAGCCAATGTCGTCACGATGACAGCTTTCGCCAACGATGTTTTCGAACCTTTTCTCGCCAAATCTCAGTCGTTTTCCGAAACTGGTTGTATGTCCTGCATCGTAGTATTTCACTTACAGGACTGTTCCACGATCCTCTTTCGTACCGTTTAGTGTCTTATCCTACTGTCAGCTTTTGTGTTAGAAGACGGTGTGTAGGACTCAGTTAAGGTTATCATTCCTCGTATTAGATTAATTGAAGATGGAATGATGCCGTATCATATTCATGCCAGGGCATGACATTTTAACAAAGGTCTCATAACTATCTGATTCACTCATTATCATCCCGATGTTCCATTTGTGTTCTCCTTCTTTTTCATTCAAATGCATGTTCTAACAAAAGCATTATCGTAGCAAACTCTGGATCTGAACTGACTTCCGTGTATCATTTATGATTTCCTTGTACAGTGTTGTTGATTTGCTTTATTCACGAGTCGTCTTCAGATGTTCGATATGAACAAAGCCAATTTTTACGACGTTTGTTGTGGATTTCTCCGAACGCATAAAACACATACGATAAAATTAGGTGATATCTTACAAACTGCATCTCTTTGCGCACATGTCAATAGTTCAATAGTCAAGTTCAAGGGAGACAAAATCATGGTATTATGGGTACGTTTACTCATCAACGGCTAAAGGTCCTAGCGTGGTTGCCTTTGTCAAAATGACAAAACGACCTCAAACAAGAGAAGAAACTCCTCAGACTTAAAGCAATTTCGAAAAATAAATCGATTTTTCGAAATTCCCTCCCCTTAGTCTGTATATTCTTTGCGCGTGGGGTCAATTTGGTACTGCTCTGACTTCGTTGCTCGACGAGTGCCCAATTTCACATTCAAAGGGCAAAGGGCCACAGGGCCTTTGTCTCTCTACCTGTTGCGATTCGGTCATTTTTACTCAAATCGTAGCAGAATAACAAAAGTGGAGAAATATGGTAGATATGCGCGGTAGATATCGCTTTTCAACAATAATATTTCAAACATGGGTAATTGGACCTCTTTATCTAAGTAACAACATATAAACAAAACAAATAACGCGAACGCAAATAATGAACAGATCAGAGTACAAATGATGACGAAATTAGATTCTGCATCGTGTGGAGTGTCGATATCAGAGAATTGAATGGTCGTAAATGTGTCGTATGAGGATGAAGAGTATAAGGATATTGGCTGGCTTTCCCGGCTCCGCTCGGCCCTGTCAAAACGCTATGATAAGCTCTCATCCGTATCCCTGCACAACCTTTCCCTTTGCCCGCGTCTACATGCCATTTTCCTATCTGTAATCAGCATGCTCGATTACCCCCGTGCCAACTCCCAGCCCCGTAGCACAAACTTTGCAGAAAATCGATAAAATTGATAAAAGTAGCGATAATTCCAAAAACTAATATCGTATTCGTGATCAGCATGCTCGATTACCCCTGTGCCAACTCTCAGCCTCGTAGCTCAAACTTTGCAAAAAATCGAGTGAAATCGATAAAGTCGATATCGATCGATAACGAGAAGTAGCCTACGACACTCGCCCCACTCCGAAGTGTATGTGTGCCAGGTTTGGTCCGGATCGGTTCAGAAATAAAAATTTCTATTCGGAACATACGCACATACACACAGAACATACAGACCAGGCTCGGCACGAGCTGGCACCAGGGAATTTTCAAAACGAAATCCCCCTTGATTTTCGCTAAGTTTTACGAAGTCGCCCTTGACCCTAAACCCTAAACTTGAAAAAACCCCAAAAAACGAAACGTCGACTAAAAAACGTCGCAGTTTCTCGACAAAAACGATAACCCCTTTGCTTTTTGTCCCAAAAACGATATTCAGCTTGCCTCGTGCCAGCTGGTGCCAGGCCCTGATACAGACATACATACATACAGACAGACAAACAAACATTCAGCTTTATATATAAGATGTATCACCTGTCACCTGTATCACCTGTATCCCCGTTGATCATCGTGTCGCACGAGCGGGTACCAGTGATGCCTCCATTCGTCCCTGTCTCTGGCGGTTGTTGTCCAGTGTTTATGTATCGCACCAGAAACACGTGCAACGCTCTGAAGAACTTCATTAAAGGACTTCGTGAACATATCTGACCATCGCGTCGGCGGTTTCCTCGTTCGCGTTTGACGTCCAGTAGTATCCAATCTGTTATAGCTCTCGTCCACCAGTTGTCGTCGAAACGCATTACGTGCTCGGCCCATCATATCTTGTTCTGCTTGGCGTATGCGGCAGCGTCACTGATCTTCGATCGTTGACGTAGGGTAGAACTTCGTAATCCTTGCCTCACTTGCGTGAGTCGATTCACTCCTAGCATCACTCTCTCAACAGCTCGTTCGATGACGCTAACCGCGTGTTCATCCTGCTTTCTCATTGTCCATGTTTCTGAAGCGTACGTCAAAGCAGGAAGAACCGTCGAGTTGAAAATATGGGTGCGGGGCCGGCTGTTCTTGGTCTTCTTCACTACGTCCTCAATTGTCTTATATGCTCCCCATGCTGCATGTTTCCTCCTGCTCAGTTCCGAAGCTAGATCGTTCATTATATGGAGTTCACGACCTAGGTAGGTGTAGCTTGAGCATTCGGTGATGTTCGTCCCTTGAGCATGAAAGGAGCATCAGGCACTCTTCCGTTCCTCATGAACATCGTCTTCGTTAGATTCAGCCGTAGACCGATCTTTCCACACACTTCGTCAAACTGGGCCAGCATTTGTTCCGCCTGCCTGATGCTTGGTGTTATCAATACGATGTCATCAGCAAAGCGAAGGTGGTGTAGCTGCCGGCCCTCGACTTTCACTCCCATGTTGTCCCATTCCAACTTTCGCATGACGTTCTCCAGAGCGGCACTGAATAGTTTCGGCGATATAGTATCGCCTTGTCGCATGCCTCTCTTCACGTCGATGATGATATCCTTGTAGAATGGTGTTATGGTGGCTGTGAAGTCGTTATACAGCCCACGAATTATCTTGATGTAGTGAGTCGGAATACCTTGATTGCTCAAGGCATCGATGGCGGCTTCAGTCTCAACCGAGTCAAAGGCCTGCTTCAAATCGATGAAGGTGAGAAAGAGCGGCATCTTATACTCTCGTGACACTTCAATGAGCCTTGACACCGTGTGTATGTGGTCTATCGTGCTGAATCCTCTTCGAAACCCAGCTTGCTCGCATGGTTGTCCTTCGTCTAACTCTCTTGATCCTGTTGAGATTAACTCGCGTAAAGAGTTTGTAGACTACAGACAACAAGCAGATAGGGCGATAATTGCCGATGTCGCAGGAATCTCCCTTCATGTACAGCAACACGGTTTTGCTGGTCTTCCATTGTCTTGGAACCTTGCATTCCGTCAGGTACCGCGTGAAGAGCCTTGCCAAAGTCTTGAAGAGAACTGGCGAAAGACTCTTCAGATGTTCTGGCTTAATCCTGTCGGGGCGGGTGCTGTACGGTTCTTCATCGACATGATAGCATGACGAATTTCGAAAGGAAGAACAGACGGTGTGACATATTCGTCCTCCCTTAGATGGCATGGTGGAAGGTGGACGTGGCTCGCAAAGAGTTCCGAGTAGAAGTCGTGGATGACCTTCTCCATTGATCTTCGGGAAGCAGTTATGGTTCCGTCAGGACGACGAAGTGCGGTCATCTTTGTCTTGAAGTTGACGAATTGGCGGGCGTTGCGTATACTTCTTCCAGCCTCCGCGGCGTCAACCATCACTGCTACTCTTCTCTCCTTGAGGTCTTCTTTTATCGCTTCTTTGCATCGCTTCGCAAGCTCGGACGTCAGTCGGTAGTTGCCTGTGGCTCGTGCGCATCCACGTTGGCGTATCAGCTCCAAAGTCTCCGTGGTGAGACGCCTTCTCGTATTTCTTAGACTCTGAGCTTCCTTGGCACAATCGTGGAGATGTTGTACGAACCGTTGGTATTCTTCGTCGATGTTGCCCATCACGGTATCTCGCCATGAGCCGGATATCGAAGAAAACAGATCCCAGTTGGTGGTATTCATGGGACGATGTTTCCTGAACTTGACGGCTCTCTCTCCATACCGCGGAAAGTACGATGGTCTGATCCCGTGTAGAACTTCGGAACAACAGCGACGTCCGTCAGGCAGTATCTTCTGTTGACGATGATGTGGTCAATCTCGTTATGGTACTCTCCACCGGGCGATTCCCAGGTCCAGCGTCGGTAAGAGCGCTTTTGGAACTGTGAGTTTTCATCCTCGTCGTCATGATAAACTCGGACAGTCTCTCCCCTTGTTCGTTCCACTGCAAACCATGGGTTCCGATGTGAAGTTCCTCAGTCGACCTTCCAGTTCCGATCTTCGCGTTGAAGTCACCGACGATGATCATGTAAAAGGTATGATCTTCTCTGTAGAACTTCTCCAAGTCCATATAGAATTCCTCGAGTTCGTCCTCGTCGTAGCTGGATGTTGGGGCATACGCAATGAAGACGGTCACAGGGATTGATTCACATCTTGATATTCGCAAACGTCCGATTCGAGTTGTAAGTTCTTCGAACGAATCGATGTTCATGACCAAACTCGTGTTGACAAGGACTCCCACCCACCTACTCCACGACTATCGCATGTTCCTAGGAACAGTTCTTCTCCAGTCTCAAATGTGGCGTTCAGCGGGTGGTGCCTCCTTGTCTCGGTCAGTCCGATGACGTTGTACTTGATCTTCCTTGCTTGCTTCATGATGTCTTCGATAGATGCGTCCGATGCCAGCGTCCTCGCGTTGTAAGTACAGATCGTCATCATAGTCCATCTCGTTTTCGGCAGCCTAGATCGCCTTTCAAACCTTGTCCCCACTGGCGCTGCCTTACCAGTGGCTCTTCCAAGATTAAAGGAGCTTTCCATATTATCACTGTGTCGAACAAGATTTTACTCGCAGGGATAGCTTGTTGGGCTCAAAACCCCCGCGAGGGACGATCGGAGCTTATTTGTTGGAGGCGACTCCGAACTCGCCTCCCCACACACCTACCCGGAAAATTAGAGTGCAAGCTTTTAGTGGAGGCAGGGAGTCCGTCCCCGCCTCCGCTTGCTTATCAGAGCAGGCGAGGGGTCGCTTTTGGTCGACGATTATCCCCCTATCCGCCACCTGGGGACGCCCCACGTAGCCTCGCGACTAACCGGCTGTGATCCCTCTATGAGGGAGATCCGTGGATATAAGATGACGGATAAATATACCAACGAATGCTACCTATTGAAAATAGGTTGCTGACTGACGGAAGTCTCCACAAAGGCAGCGTCTCGGCAAAATGATGGGTACCGGGATTTTACGTTGTTGCAATGACAGACTCTCCAGTTAATCTATCATTTTCATTTTCATTTGTACGCCCAAGGCGTTCCATAAAAAACACACATCGAGAAGTTAGTAATACAGTGGAATGATCAGAAAAGTAAACGAATGCAGACATCATCATGTCAGTCCAAGTCTAATGCTAGTCATACTCATGTAAGAAAGATGAAACGGTTTGCATTAATCATGTTGAT